GAGATATATACACTCCGTAAGGGAAGTTGACGGTAGAAAAGTTAAAGTCGTCACGTTTATCATATAGCTTGGTTGTTAGGTTACCATTAACGTCTTTTTCAAGTAAAATATCCAAGTATGAAACAGATGAGTACTATGTCAGACTCTGTTGTGTCTTAAAGCTTAAGTTCTCCTGGATATATCGTATCGATTGGAATGGAAACTATCATTGTTAATTGACAATACGTCATCGATATATCTGAAAGTCGAGTTGAAGGCCACAGCAAGTATTGGTTAGCAGATCAGCTGATATCCGAGACTCCTGTCTATTATTGTATTGTAATACCAACTTAATAACAACTATATTTTAGTATTGTGTACAAACAAATCAGGATTTTTTGAAAATTCATGCCAACAATTTGTGCTATAAGAAAAGTCGTTTGTGGTCTTAAATATAAAATATGTCAACATCATGTGGTTTTCTAAATAATAACTATCGTATAGATATAGTAGATTGATACAAAAATACTTATATGAGAGGTGTTAAGAATATTCGTTCCATAATGAAATATATCTTTTTAAAATAAGACAAAATACAACGGTTGTGCCTTCAAGTTATAGCAATTAATTTCTAGCACGAAGGTATGAGAATTTTTTCATTTGGAAATATATTTAAACATCATTGAACACCCACATGACAGAATTTTTGTTTGATAATATATAGGATTATTTACTATTGCTTCTTCACAGTACATCTTGTATCATTAAACAAAATCGTTGAGCATAGGAAAAAAAAAAGTTTAGTCAATGGTTTGTCATTAGAATTCTATATATTGACTTGATAATCTTAACATTGGTATTGTCATAAGATATGAAAAAATTTGCTGCATTCTTGGTTTTTCTACACAGACTTCATCTTTTTCAATACCACCTTTCCCCTTTTCGTGTCAACAAAACACAGTTAAAACTTTACCAGTAGTAATTAAAGATGATGAAAGAGTGACTTAGTGAACTTGAAATATCACAAATCTTTAATATCTTCTCATTGCTTTGCTTCTCGAAAGAAAAATGTGGCATGAACTTTCTAAGCATCCTTTAGATATCAAATATTTGTTTTCAAAAATAACTTTTTCTTCCATGCTGCAGATCAAAGTATTGTATAAATTTAATATTTTTCGCAGGAAAAACTTTGGTAAACTACAGGTTAATAAATAATATACAATGTGTAAAAAGTGGTTCTCCACATTTTTTGATAAGGAGGGAAATGCAAAAACTATTGTGATGTGACAGCAGTGGTATATGAAAATCAAAGTACTGAAAGTACTGATGGGAGTTGATTATTAAATGAATTCGATTTATGATTGATTGATTTATATTGTTTAACGTCCCTCTCGAGAATTTTTGACTCATACGGATATGCCACCACTTGCCGGTGGAGAGCTGCAAATTTTTTTAACTTATACTCGGCACCCATTGAGCAGAGAGGTCTTTTTCGAGCCAGCACCTACTGCGACCAGGGACCTTCGTTTATACGGTCTCATCCGAAGGACCAGTCTCCAAGTCTTTCGACGGGATTCGAACGTGAATCCTTGCCAACTTTCCAAATTATACTTATATTAATGCTTCTTGATTGAGGTATGTTAGAAGCAAATGCATAAGTGGATTTCGTGATCCTACAGAGTCAAAGCGGTATGGTTTGTTCTACTGTAAATCACTTTTGATTAGAAATTACATGTATTTACTAAGCGAGACAGTGTGATCGCAAAAATTTCTCTCTCGCACATATATAAGTACTCTTTACAGTAAAAACAATAACCACAATTCGTAAAAAAAAAAATGGTCATGCTATTAAAAAGTTACACGTTATGACTATCTCGCGAAAATAAGATGTCTCGAAAATTAAGTGATCTACAGTAATTTGAAAATAACTTGAATGATATGCGAAATCTTGTTAGATTTATCGTTTTCCTCACAGATTCGTCCTTATCTTAGATGAAGGTACAGTGTATGGAACTTGTACTTTCAGTATCTAAGATAATAAGATGGTTTTAGGATGAAAACGACACTCAATACAAATTTGAGAGAAAATGAATAACGCATAAATCAAGCCCATATCAACAATTTATCATCAATAGTATAACGTCTAAGTGTAGGGTTAATCTATCAGATTCAGAAATTACATTTACTACAGCAAAATTAGTAACAGATTTATACACACCGGGTATTGAGTTTAAAAAAGAATCAGTTGACTTTTTTTCACAGATTGAGCAGGAGTAAATTCTGAAAAAAAGTTTAATAGCTAGGTTGCTTTTTAATATTTTTTATTATATATACGAGTATATATTTTTTGTGAATGGTTAAAACCCCAAAATTTCATGTACATACATTAAAATAAGTTCAATGATGTTCAAAAAATGTGAATATAAGTATAGTTCATGTAGTATGTAATGTAACAGATTTGTGTATTTCATACTTAATAGAACTCGTTCGATTATGGCATATTAATTATGCCTTATTGCCTGGTATGATTCATTTTTCAATTTAACATTATATATTTTTGAGACCGATTTCCGTGAAATCTAATTAAAATTGCAGCGAGATATTTGTTAAACCACAAAGCATAATTTACGTGTGTATTTGCCCCCCCCCCCCAAAAAAAAAATGTGTATGCAATAGTATTACACAGATCTGTGTTAGAGGGAAATTGGATACCCCAACATCCATCCACGTCCTTAAAATACTCAAATGTGCCAACAATTTGCAATAATCTATTTCCACTCTTTATCTTGCTTAGTCAAACAGTCATCACGCAAATTGACTTTCACTATACTGTATAACTGTACAACTTTCCACAAACAAAAGAAATTAGCAAGCTTCATATATAACGCATTTAAAAATCACCCTTTTTATACCTTCATTTACTATAAAGTAAAAGGCGAGAAGTAATATTAATCCATGCAGTATAGGTCACTTCTGCAGCAGTGGGGAGATCTTATCTTAATCAAGCTTTACACATATTAGAGACTTGCAAGCACACAATGCCCGCTGAGTTATCAATCAGCCTGAGTCAGGTGTATTGTAAACAAAACAGCTAGCCTAGACATGAAGTTTTGTTCTCTGTATTCCAATTTGACTTTAAATTTTATAGTACATCTGATTATTAGGCCCATTGTTTTATTGTCTAAATATACTGTATCAAATTTTTTTTCTGTTTTTAACCACAAGAATACCATCATGTTTTCTCATCATATTGCAGACGCTTTGTTAATAGGGAATTTCCTGTCTTGAAATTAGAATACATGCACAATGTATGAATACATATCGGAACCGGTATGATTATTTAGGTGACAGATGCTCAAGAGGAAATTAAAATGACAGACTAAAGTTGAATACAGAGTGATTGTGGACTATATTGTCAAGAATTATAATTTCTTTATAGTAAGTTTAATGAGGAACTATTTTCTTATTCGCAATGCTCATTTTCCTTGGCGGCTGTTTGTCAGTTGCACTTCCTGTCTTGGCCCACTGACATAGACTCGTTGATATAATCAACTCCCAAAAATTATATCCCATCAGTGATACCTAAGGGACAAAAAGGAAACCCATCTTATTAGGTCTTTGAATAAGTGGTTTCCTGTAAAACATTGGTTTAGACTAAACAGTAGAAATAAAACATTTTGGAGTTCCTCCAAATCATTCCGGTGCCCTTCTTTTCCCGTGTATTTTTGCTTTTCATCTCAACACATTGAGCTCACCAATTAATGAAAATCACATAAATCTAAGTCTCAGAAGACATTTTATTTACAGTGGCTTAATGAATGTTTATTTTACTTTTGTCCAAAGATAATAAATCAAATATTGTGCATACGCTTTTCTTCGCTAAAAAAATCCAGTAAGAACTTTAAATATACGGAGGTATTAAAAAATAAGAATCATTGTAGGATTTTATATCTTCTTTTTTATCTTTTGACAAAGATTTAAATGAATTTAAAAGGCTAGTAAATTGTGTCGTATCTTTTCAAGATACAGAATTAATCATCTTTGTCAGAGATTCGTATATCATGGTGATCATATCATGATCGTTCATATTAATGACGCATAACTTAATAATCATCATTACTTGATTTAAATCAAAGTGCTAAAATTGAAAACAAAACAAGTTAAGCAAAATTGCAAAGAAAATATTTTTAAACATAAAATTTTGGTCATAGAACTCAACAATCCCATTCTCTTCCAAACAGGAAGATATAATCATAATGAACCAAATAACAAAAGAAGCGAAAACTTAGTATCAATGTTTGGTATCACACTGTGAAAATCAAGCAATAATCGTGCAGTATATCAATTAGGATAATTTTAATTTCTTCTCAACAAATATCTTATATAGGTGTATGTATCTTGGTTTCAATAATAGCTTTAAATTCAATATATCTTTGTATACAAGCTCTGATAACTTAATATCTGCATTAAATATTTGGCTAATAATGTGCTTTATTATTAATATGAGGTTCAAATAATAAAATAGGAGGCTTTTTGCTAGCTAGATATGCCACAACACAATGCCACTGAAGCGTGAAAAGAGATAATGTCTGTGCCGCCTACCTTGTGAGGGACGTCTAGTTCTCCCTGCATAATAGACGAAGCTTTTCTGTAAAACGTGTCATTAACAATAAAATTGCCATTTGAAGTTTTTTTTTTCTTTCGTTTTTTGATCTTCCTTAGACAAACTTAACTTTTTACAGGAAAGATTCAAATTTCTAAGTTGAAACCTATTCTTGCACATCCAAAATTTTTTCACCGTGATATTTTTGTCGTTTCTCAATCAGATAATTCAACTTCACATGAAAGTTAACATTTTTTTTATCAAGAGGAGTGATTATATGAGTTGTTGATTTTTAAGATAAAAAACACATCACCATATTTCCCAAGCATTCGACAACAAAGCTTGTTACAGATGAGCATGTTAGTAAATACTTAACATTAGACATTGGATCCATTTTGTTAACTTATATATGACCTACCTGGGAAGGAGTAAAGGGAAATTGTGACATCACATAATCCACTTCCATTTCTGTAATTTCCCGCCACAACTCGATTTAATCCAACATATAGAAAGTTATCCTTAATTCCATATAAAGGATCTTGTCCATTAAGTGTAAACAGAAACTTAGATTCCAAAAAATCTTTAATTTTCCCAGACTTCCATTGTATTCTCTCATCACTAATATCCAACTTTACACGAGATCCTCTTTTAACAAAATTATCTGTTGTATGAATTAACAATCCTCCATTTGATGAAGCATCCATATGACCTGGAAGATCATTCCCATAAATCCTGAATTGCTTGTTGTGAATTTGAGTTTCTGCCATGTTACTTGTAGTGCCATGGTCGCCACCATAACCATCTCCCGTTGGGGAATCCGAAATATCCAAAGTCCAGAATCGAGGTGGTTCCAGATAATCTAAGTAAAGCTTTGCTCCATGGTATTTTCCCGAGAAGTCAATTTTTAGTACGACTTGTTTGTCACACCGAGATCCGGGATAAGTCACAGGGGAAGTAAGGAAGGAAATAAAGGGACTGTATCCTTTAACTACTCCAGACTTTAAGTTTATATGGACATAATTGTCATCTAGAGAATCAACCATTTGAAGAAATATCACTAAAAGTAAAAATAAAATTGTAAACATTATGCTATTTTATCGAGAATATTTCATCAATGTGAGCAGTGACTCTCAAAGCTGTTATTTTGAGGGTTTGTCTAGAACAAAAACCAAACATATCATAAGTTTTTCCCTGTTTGAATTTTTTTCGTCTGTTTTCAGTATTATATTTTTATCAGACTGTCATAAATATATGTGCTTTTGTCATGCCAACACATTGGCAGACATGTTTTGTAGAGCAATAGCCCATGCAATAGTGATAAATAATCACCGTTACAAGATAATTGATAGTTGAACAAAACCGTAAGTAGAAAATTAAGAATTTTACAAGAAAAAATGGGAGGTTTGTTATTTGTAAAATTTGTTCTGTTTTTCATGCTAATCAATTATTTTCTTAATTTATGAAATGTTTTAAGTATAACAGGTAAATTACTTATTTTTGTATAAATCTACTTTACTTCATTAAGCAAAGACTAAAAAGTAGTTTTTATTTAAAGATTTTTCATTTGAATTTCTTTTACATTCAAAATTTGGTTCTTTACATTATTACGACGAATAAACCTGATTTAATCGTAAGCACAGTTCACTCATCCACAAGATAACATAACGCCGATTGGTTTAGAACACGCGAAAATAACACTACTCAGAAATGTATTCATAGAGTATTGCGGAGGTAAATCTGTATTTGTACATACATGTAACAAACAAAACGATGTACCAAAGAAGATGATTTAAGTTCACAACTAAGCATAAAATACTTTACTAGATAAATAGCTCTTTTCCGTCCGATTCTTCGGTATATTTTCCTGTGTTTCTTAATATGGAAGAAGTGCATTTTCTTGCATTTTATGAAGATTCCGGAACTACTTAGTGTAGATATCTTCATGGAAAATAAAGGTGAAGTGCGATTCATATTTCATTTAACACTCTTTGGAATTTAGATTTGTTGGCGTTTTTAAACCATATCGAAAATCATTTGCTGAAAGCTTTAATCATATTGACAAGCGAACGATTTCAAATTTCTGTCAAGGGATTCTGCAAGTTTACAAAATAATAAGTTTAATGTGTATGCTCTCAAGGCCCTCATTAGTTTCATTAAAATATATTTCATATAACAAATTAGGCAGAAAATTTGTAATGCTTCTTTAATCGAACACTTTTAGTTATCTTTACTTTTTCTTTATATTAGATTTGGATTTTGGTCTACTTTCTATACTGTACATGGATATATCAATTCAAAAGCTCCATGCTATCTCTAATTTAAAGCATCATTATTTTGTTATGCTATCCACATTATGTTACAAAAAATATCTCTGTGTTTATCTATTTATAAAAAAATTAGCTCAAATATCAGCCCCCACTGAAAGATGACTTTAAATAAAATCCTTGTCAAGTCATTACAGAAAGATATAATGTTCCAGTACCGTTGTTTCTTTCAGTTGGAAAGAAATCAATCATCGAAAAATTGGAAAGGCTTTTATTTACCCGTTTCCATGGGAAGTTAAAATATTTCAATACAGTTCCTCTTTTCTAAATATCCGTCTAATACATATATGTTCTTTTGATCTATTTCTTTGATCTGACATAGTGATTACTTTATCAGAGCAAAAGGATAACCATTTCAAAATGCGTCTTGCATACCATGAATAAAAATAAATCATTTGTTTACGATTAAGTCATTAATCAAATGAATATTGCAACTGAGAAATTACACAAATATATAACAACATTGTTTTAAGAATTGACGTTTCATTTTTCTTTAGATTTTCGATTTTTGAATTTGCAATCCAGTATACGTAATTGATGAAATTTGGTGGGACATTTACTGATAAATTTGAAGTGAAAATCTTTGTATTTTTGAGAGAGAAAGATATAAAAATTTTTAAATGCGATTTCTTTTATCAATCTCAAATATGTCAAAAGAAAATATCATTTGTATGGGATAACTGTATTGAAATAAACTTTTTCCCATGCCATAAATCATATTTCCAATAAAAGTCATTTTCTTATCAAAAAAATGTCACCAAAGCAATCCAGCATTATTTTATCTTTTGAATGTCTAACTAAATAGCATAGGTGTGTTGATTATTTCAATATGGTTAATTTTAGCAAATGTAACAGAAAAATCTAGCACCTTAGAAAAATTTTGCTCCGCCATTTTACTTTGAAAATTTTTTACAGATTTCTTTTGCGTCAAGTTAGCAATTTATTACGTAATATACTGATATCAACACAATAACTGGTTAGTAAACTCATTAATTTTAAGACATGTTAAAAATATTTAATTGCTATCAAAATATTCCATTCTTCGTCGTTTTTAAAATTTACATTTCCTAGCAAAAATTTCAATGAATATTAAAGTGTTATCACACTTTAAAATTGTTTTGTGTTGTTTTAGGCGTTTATAAATATGCTTAGCAGAGAAAAAAATAAAACAGGAAAACATAAAACTCATCAAAATGCCTTTGAACCTTTATCACTATACCAGTTTTCACATGTACATCAAAGTACAACGCTCTATGAATGTACTTATTGTGAATATTCTGCATTAAATGAACAATCTGAAGATATCTAGCAGAGGTTAAACTGATAAATTCCTTAAACATAAGTGAAAAGCGCACAAACACGTACCCCCACTTGAACTTACAACACTGGACGCAGATCCACAGAAAATAAAGCTATAAGTATGTCTATTTTCCTGTTTCTTTTTGTTTAAACATCTTTTCTAAATGTATAGTTTGAATCAGAAGTTTTCTTAACCAAAAAAAGCATTTTTACTAATTTAAATTCTAATAATGATATCTAGTGTGGAGAGGGTTCTTCTCAAAATCGAAATTACTAGAAAATTACCTGAGAATCCTTTCATATTACTTTTAAACTTTCTTAACTTTTTTTATCCAACGCGAAAGACTAAGTCCGTTTTGGATTAGCTGGATGTCCTGGAACTTTGTTAAAGTTTTATTTCATTACCTCAAATACCCGAAACTGACAGTAAAATATAATATATATCTTCTATAATTTTACTTTCAATGATGTACAGTGTCTCAGTAAGCTCTCTATAAGAAAAGTATTGAAGTTGGACATAAACTCTTCGTGACGTTATCGAAAATACTCAGCATAATTTTCGACATGAACAGTCATTCAAAAATGCTTAAAATGTTGCGCATTTCTTTCTTAAAGAAAAAATATACATGCATATATAGAAAGTTAGATTCTCAAATACATGACGTAGTTACACAAATGAAAATGAAAAAAAGAAAGTTTTTTTTTTTATTTTTAGAAAACTATATAGCGTAAAGGAAAGTACTGTATTTTGAAATTAACTAATTCATTTATGATATCGAGATGGAGTATTCTTTATCTAAAAATATGTTCAAAGACAATGAAGTAATGACTCCAATTTATATTTTTTTCAGCTAGCCTTGCCTGGTCAAATATAATGTACTCAAAACTTCATCTTAAATTATTTCATGCATGCAGTTACAATTTATTCTATTTTATATCTAGTGATAAGCATAACGACACCAACGTACCAAGAAATTAGGGTAAGGTGCATAGAGGGTCCTTGAATTCAATAGTGAAGACAAAAACCTCTGATCACTCTCATATCCAGTTAAGAATATGAAACGAAAACAAGGCAATGGCAAAGGTGGTAGGATCATGTGCCTAGGAGGAGTAAGCATCCTCTACCGACACCTGCCCCTTGCTGTATTGATCATAGATGAGTCCGTACTTTTTGGTATAAAAAGAATGGCCCAACAATATAGGATATATTTTAGTCAAAATAAAACCTACTGTAATTGTTTAACTTGTATTCTAAGGGTTACATTAAACATTGTTTAAGGATAATTTAAATTTTGCTCGAAAACGACGAACAACGAGACATAACTTTTCAATCATTTCAGACGGTAATGTTTACCATACGAAGAAAAGAAAATTTGGAGTTCTACTAAATGTAAGAAACTGAATGTGCAGAAAATATCTGCAACAAAATATCTTGAGTATTGTGTTTTCTAGTCTTCAACACGCTATTTGTAACATGGTTTTTCATAATAATTGAACAAAGCATTTTGATCACAATATTGAAAAGACGATATTTCGTCTTAGCTGTATGAAATATGTACATCATGTAATAATAATAAAAAATGCTTAAGCAGGGGGAAAATGAAACAGGAAAACAGGATTTACAAATGTGTATGATAATATCAATTTTGGTTGTTTTTAATATTTATTAATTATATTACCTTAACAAGGTTAAAAAACCTAATATTTATTCATTTTCTTTGCAGGTAAACAACAAATATGCATAAACAAGAGGTCGATGTTCTATTTTAAGCACACCTTGAATTCAGAGGGATGTTGCAGATACACTTAAACAATGATTTTCAATAAAATACATATACCAAGAAAAGGAAACTCATTCTCAAGTTTTAGCACCATGAATTACGATTCGTATTTATATGTTTCTGTGTACAGGATGGCAATTTACTACGACATGAATGCCCGACATAATCAAGCTACAGAATGGATCTGACACTTTAGGAGAAATATATGTGTTAAATGTATCTCTTAATTGTTGCTAATTACTGATATGGCACTACGATAATTAAGTAACAATGATGAATATATGAATAAATGGTAGCTGATTTTAGAATTTGTTAATTTTCGTTTTCCATTATTTATGATTTTCCTACTAATTGATGGACAAAATCAACAATGATAACTTGATAACTTTTTTGAAAAGTAAAAGTGTCTTGTTTTTGACAAATGCATTAGTATCAGAATAAATAGTTGTTTAGGTTATATTTAATATTGTTTATGCATCACTATTAGGGTGTTAAACAAAGATGCATAATTTCGAAACTGCGTAATTTGATTTAAAAACAAATATATAATGATCTTTTTTTTTTCAAATTTAGTAATTTATATCAAATCAGGAATTGCTTATTGATTTTTTAAAAAACATTTTTCAGGGAAAAACATAATGAAAAAGTTAGATTTGATATAGCGAAGTTTTAAAAAATTACATTAAGAGGAAAGAAGTGGTTAGTATAAAAATTGTTAATGAATTTATTTTAATGAAATTAGGTAAAACGTATCATACAATTATTCTAAGCACATTGTTTTGGAAACTTGTACAAAATTTTTCATATAAAAGGATAAATGTTAGCAATTTTTCTTCACTTACCTTTCACAAATAGTGATACCCATGATATATAAATCTCCATTGTGGTCCTTCAACATTGGGTATATCGATGATAATTAAATAAATAAATGTAATTGATGAAAACTAAACATAGGTCCAGACATCATTTGCTATGCCACGGGTAAGATGTTTCGTGTTCCTTGATAGGGTGACAAGGAACTCCATGATCTTTTAAAGAATTTGATTGGTTGCCTCTCTCTTTGTAACCTCTTCTTCTTTCATAATACCTATCTTATATATACCTTTGTCTTTTGATATCTGAAATAAAACAGGAATTTTGATATAAACAGTGGAGATCTTGTAAAAACTATAACTGTCAGACCAGAAATCATAAACGGGCTAAACATGTTCCATAGAAAAAACAATCCACTGTTACTCTCAAATATACTGACTTTGTACCTTTGGCTTAATGTGGCTTTGTATTTCTTAGAGTCGACATAGCAAATGCAGTAAGTTTAAGTATTTTAAATAGCTTACAAAATATTTCAAATACCTTTCATCAGATGAGTTGTCAAGATAATTAAAAGTGTATCAGACAATTGACAGAATGTCATTAAAATTGGTGCTTTTCCTTTCTTCTTTACTCCATTTTTTAATAATGTGTACTTGACAAAATGCCACCATTTCATTCAATTTAAACTATGTGGAATGACATCGAACTCCTTATCAATTTTTTCTTCAATGGGCAGAAAAAATAAACATAAGATTGCCAGACTATAAGCTTTACACAATGGACTTGCAGAAGATTTCCTCTTGTTCACCACTTCAGAGGTTTTACACTGCATTAGACATTTCCCTTTCGGCTTTACCACTGTAGATATTTATCTGACAAAATTAAGTTCAAAATTCTTTTGTCACCTTCGAATAGAATTCAGCATCTAATGCTGTAAATTGAACGCTTTCGACGTCTTAAAAACATAATCTGCTTGTTAAGACAGTCAATCATTTTAGATGATTATAGACGGGTAACTTTGTGGGCTCATTACTGAATGCAACGACAGTCAAAGATTGTTTAACTTTTTAAAGAAAAAATAAATGAAGTGCCATGTTAGTGCTTTTCACATGCCCAGACTGATAAGTGCTTGGGTTTGTAATACAATATAACTTCATAACTGAAAAATCTTAAGTTTTGGGATAGTTGTTTAAAAGAATAAACATAAATGACATGTTCATTTCTACTTGTACCAATCCTTAAGGAAAAGTAAATATTTTAGAATTATTAAATTTCAGGTGTACTTAATGAAAGGAATGGTATCTTAACACATTTAAAGATATGTCAAATTTAATTTTATAATCTTCTTTTGCCTTTCAGATTTTATTGTCTTGTAATTACTTTGCATGTGATCTTTATTTTATAAATGAATCTATTTGTATTCTTAGTTTTAATTTATTTAAATAATGCAACATTTTGTTAATTAAGATAGATAATTAAGATAGTTAGCAGTCAAAATTTTAACTACTATTGACCTCCAAAATAAAACAATTTTGAAGGTGCCTCATGTTTGCCTTCTATGTGCTATATTGTTTTACTTTTCAAATGGGTTCGAACTTAAGTATTGAAATGTAATTTTCAATAATTATTGTAACAGCCTGGAACACGTGTCCATACAATGGAAAATGAATCCCCATTAGTATACTTTATAGTTCGTACTAGGGGGTGATGTCGCCTTGACCGTGACAACACCTCATTGTTGTGATGTTAATTTGACCAAGCAAAGTTTAAGGGTCACTCGAACATCCATGTGTGTGTTTAAAATACATGCAAGTGCAGATAGTCTCCAATAATAAACAAAACAGCATATAATTCACGGGAGAATTGAACATCTGTTTAAACATTTCCACAATCTAAAAATAGATCTATTAACTGAAATTTACTTCAAATAAGTTCCGTGTTGAATGCAATTGTCTGATTAAAAGATAACATTCCTTTCAAATGGATTTTTGTAATTGGCGCACTCATCAAGTTTATTTTCAAGGCTCTGTAATTTTTTTTATTGGAAATAAAGGGTGAAAAAATTATTAATGTCTATATAATATTTTATTTAGAATCTTAGTCCACAAATTATTTAAAAAAAATATTAACATTTTATAAATAGAATTATTAATATCCAAATGCACGAAATTAAAAAAAATATTACAAATTCTTTCAAAATATCTAGAATGTGCTATTAATAAATGATTTTACAATTGCTTTTTAAAGTTTTAAAGGATCACTTTCAGAACATTATTTTACATGCTTCAAAACTGCATACCTTGATTGAGTTTTTCCCGATCGGATTCTTTTCCATGCTCTGCAATATATTATTTATTGCTTATAAAATCCACCAGTGTATTATGATGCCAAAAACATTCCATTCTTCGTTCCAAATTTCTTCAACGTTAACCGGAAATCTGTATGCTAAATCTAGTTCCTTTCTCTCAAAAAAATTATCTTAAAGATATAGCCATCGTATGCCATGTGTATCTAGAATTATCAAGGATTAACATTGAAGAATATAGGTTTACGTAGAGGTGGAGTAAATTTGACCTTTAAGAAACCTTATAGCCTCTAATTAGGAGAGCAAGTTTCAGTCATATCGGAGGTTCGTTATTGCCTTCGGGAACTCTGTTTTATGGTTTTGCTATCAAATATATCACATGGGTATAGCATTAGGAACAAATTTGACAATTACAAGCCTTAATGAGCAGTCTTTCAACAGCTCGCTTAAATCGAACCGAGGGCTACTGAACATCAAGACGTACCTATTAAGTTTCCAATATCAACAAAAGCCTCGCCACATTTTGTATAGGATGGCCACATTTTGTACTAAACTCTCCTGAACATACAAGCTTTCTATTAACATAAAGAGAAGGTGATATATCATTTATTTCTATCATCCCCTTGTTTAATCGAAGTTTTAAAGAAACCCGAGACGAAAATTAGTCTATCTCCTTAAGACCTTCTTTCTGGAATTAAAGGAGATATCTTTGGTCTTTTAAAGAATATTATATTGAACTGGTATTTGAATATTTAAAGATGTAATTAAGGCACAGTTTTTAAAGAAATTTATTATTTAAGGGCCGATAAGTTTGATCTGATAAAATATAATCTGTCTTTGATATCGAATCAAACAAATAATAATCTGTGTAATTTTTTTTCTGTGAAGTATTCGGAGCAGATTTTAAAGTCGATGTATTAGACATCATCTTACCTTATTTAAATGAACAACAGGGTCTTTGTTTAAAAGTCCTCAACTGTTGTTTTATAGTATAATTTTAATTCTATAGCCCTTAGAAATTTACAGCTTAAAAGCCAGTAGTCAGCGTTACGTACATTAGTATATTATGTGAATTAAAATAACTTCTTTGGCAAATATAGTTATCATTTGAATCTTTCACCAGACATATTTCACACCTATTGTGAAATCTATAATCAGTTTTGTACTAAATTTGACTGAGTTTACCTGATCAATAAAAGGAGCTCTCGACGGATATGATCGGTAGAATAGAGATGTTTACCCCTCCTCAGCACCTAATCCAATCTCTTGATGTTTCAGTATCTGTCCATTTTATGCCCAGGTGTGTATTGTTTGAATTTCGATCAATGTTTGTTATCTTCATCTTTTTATTTTATTCACTATTACAAATACACCTGACTTTTTACTTACTGTTTACTTTTTTTAAAAACCAAAATGGCGAAATTTACAGTTGAGCATAGGCAGTTTTGTTGCGTAAGGAGAATCGGAATTTATCCTTAATCTTGTATTCATTTATTTTGTTAAATTTGAAAAAAAATCTTTACCTGAAATTTTTTAAAAGATTTTAAAATATATTGTTTTAAAATGCTACTAACTTTGAAAAAAAAAACAGCTAAAATTAAATGAATGAATCACACCCGAAAATGAAAGATATATCATATTAAGTAGATCCGATTTGACCTCTCATCCAATATTATCAATTGTCCACTTTTTAAAATCAAATTTGCCGTAGCCATTTATTGGTGTCATTTCGCCAAATACTCATTTCAACATATTATTTCTGTCCTTGCCATGTCATTCTAGAAGCAGCTTCATGTATGTAATTTTCGTCTTTCAAAGCATTTTTGAGGCTATTGGTTACTTTTATTGCATGAATTTAGATGATTTTGTATAAGAGACATAAAAAATGTTTACCTTTTTCTGTACATGCGTATTAGTATTAACGACAATTCTATCTATTCTATCATCGAAGACTAGTGCTAGAAGCTTTACAAGAAATATGATAACGAACAGTAATCCAGTTCAAATATTATTAAAATAATATACAAATGTGGAGCAGAGAGGACACGGTTCTTATAATACATCGGAGGTGGAATGCAGTTGAAAGGAAATATTTTGCTCTCTTTTGCTTTTATACATCCTACAGGAACTTAATTTAGGATTAGAAATATTACAGACTGTAAAACAGGCACTTTCTAATGAAATTTCGAGTATTTATGTTTACCTGCTCGTCCATATGTTTATTATCTTCTTCCTCGAACTTAAGAACATTACTGGCGATATCCTGAAGTTATACAATAATATGTTTATTATTTTCATTTTCTTTCTGTGGTTGATTGGTTTTGAAAAGTGATGGTTTTCTATAATTACCTGGTTCTCAGAACTCCTATGTTACACTTGGAGTAATATGTTTGACAATATGGTTTTTCAAAAATTCGTTTATGTACCTAGTTGTCCAATTGGAGTGAAAAAACTTTGTTTTTCTAGTTTATTGTATAATCGATTCATCTTTTGAATATAAGCAAATTTTGTTGCAAAGTTGCAAATCTTCTAGAAGGTAAGTATCTAACTAGATCCTATCATAAGGTATTAATACGTCAATGTACGTGTATACTCGGACGTAAATATTGCTCTAACTTTTCTCCCTGGCATACCTGAGTTGCTAGCAAATACTTCATGATAGTTTATCTATAATTTTCATGAAAAGATACTTGTAAAAATGCCCAAGTTACATATGGCCAATGGGTTTCTGATGAAAGTACATATATTATTATAATAAATTCATTTAAAAATTTATCAAAGTCTGCCTTAAGAACAGATGATACAAAAAATGGATTTATCAAAAATCCTAAGTTGTTTTTATAAGTTCATTGAAAAAGTTCAGCCGAAAAAGATTTTAATATTTCTTTCAAAGTCTCAACAACGTTATAAAAAGAATGAAAGTGACAAAAAGTTGAGGATGCAGAAAAGTTGAATTTTGAACATCACAGAAAGTTCACAATTTCTCAACATTTTTAAAATTTATTATTTGCATCATTTATAACCCAAATATGTCCAACTTATATACAAATCCTGACATCAATTTTGTTGTGTCATCTGCCCTTAAAATAGTTTTGAGGAGGTTTTTTTTATAAAGTTGGAAAAAATGTATACAAAACTTTGTTTCAATTGGCCTCTTTTATTCATAAAAATTGAAAGCCTAATGTAGCAACAAGACGAAAGCAAAGCAAATGCAATACAAACATTGATTAAGTAAATGCACAAAATGAAAATTAAGGCAGTTTTGAGAAAAAGTTATAAAAGAAAATGTAGCACCCCTACCAAATCACACACACGCACCTTTGCAAATCTATAGGACACCAATCAATCATAATCCAATTAAAGATTATACATGTATACAATGCAAGAGAATTCCTGAGAAGTATTAGAAATTCGTCATTTTTCAACCCCCTAATGGCGTCAAGAATGAAGTTGAAATCTTCAAAATCTTATTTCACATACACAACACCAGCACTCATATTTTATCGTTTCAAATATAATGTATGTGTGCTACCTGTTTTGCACTTTTTTTCATTTTCAGAACAAAGAGAATCATGTTTTAAGTAGGAGAAAGGCTTCAAACTGTCAATTCTGTGAGAGAAAGAACTGATAAATTGTAGCCCTCGATAATTTTCTCTACAGAATAAAAATATACTTTCTCCTTTACATAAATTCATTGTTTACAGAATGGACAGTTACAGGTAAGCTTGGGGTGCACAGCAATTTGTTAAATAGCCATTGTGTTTCCAGATGCAAATAACAATAGGTCTTTGTCTAAAGAATGGACAGTTACAGGTGGATTTCGGGGGATGCTAGTTTTTATATAAGAATGCAAATTCTCAAAATCAGTTTATATTTTGCGTTGTAAAAGCAAACATGTTTCCCACCGATTGAGAGAATATATGACAGAATCGAAATTGAATTGAAACAAAAAGATGCACACAATTAACCAGTGATACTTTGACCTGGAAACAGAGAATAGTAAGCGTTAAAGAAAATATTATTCAAAATTTGATCCCCTCAAAACTTCGACGACAAATACAGATATTTCGAATTCAAACCGGAATTTATTTTTTAATTTGAATTCAGTTTTTGAGGATATGTTAATTGTAGCAGAGTAATGGTGAAATGCAAATTATGTTCCGAGTGTTGGATTGCCATGAGCCAAACTTCGATCTGAAAATGTATATCAAATGAAATCTGGAAATGTTTCAATTTGATTAATTATTTTCTACCGAAATATTCACTGCGGCAGAGTAGTTTTCAGGGTGCAAACTGTTTTCTGGGTGATGGATTTAATATAAGCCTACTTCAAGCTTAAAATGGATTCTTCTCGAGGGAATGATGCTTCCAAAATCTTAATCAAATGTGAAATCGTGTCATTTAAATTCAAGTTTTGTGAATTGAAATAATGTGCATTATTCATTGATTTAAATGTGTAAAATCGAACAGATCCGATGCAGACACTGTGTTCTTGATTAACTTAAATTCCAAGTTCTTTTTGTAATTCACGTGTACATTAAATCGTATTTTATGTATCAGTTTGTTTTTGTTTCCCTCTTGTGCACATGCCAAGGTTAAACAAACGGAATGGAGAGTTACAGGTAAATAACTCTCCATTCCTTTTATTTTAACTGTCCATTCTTTTTGAAAAAAAAACTGTCCATTCTTAAAAAGAATGGACAGTTTTACTAAAAGAATGGACACTAACAGGTGACTTAATGGATTGTTAAGGGATTTAGCTCAACACTAAGCTAGAGAATGGACAATACAAACAAAAGGGTTACGTCACAATCATGTTTTAAGAGAAGTTCAAGGAAGAAGACAACATAAAAGACGGACCGAGACCATCTTTTTGTAATTCACGTGTACATTAAATCGTATTTTATGTATCAGTTTGTTTTTGTTTCCCTCTTGTGCACATGCCAAGGTTAAACAAACGGAATGGAGAGTTACAGGTAAGTAACTCTCCATTCCTTTTATTTTAACTGTCCATTCTTTTTGGAAAAAAACTGTCCATTCTTAAAAAGAATGGACAGTTTTACTAAAAGAATGGACACTAACAGGTGACTTAATGGATTGTTAAGGGAGTTAGC